GCACCAGGCCCTGGCCGGGGCCAGTTGTGGACCCAGGATGGGCTTGGCCAGAGTCGGCAGCAGCCACAGACGATCATGAACCTCGCCGCGAGAAATCTAGGGGCACGCTTGTCGCCGTCGAGCCTCTCAGCTTCCGAGGCGCCCCGGGGCTTCTCTGCGTCCCCGGGGCCCAGGGGGGGATGGGGAAGTCCCGTGGAGCACCCGACGGCAAGGCGGTTTCCTATGCGACGTGCATGCTGTATGGGTTTCGCCGCGCGCAGGACCTGAGATCCGGGCGGTGCGTGACATTTGTCTACAGGGAGCGTGCTCGCCCGGCTCTGGGCCCCCGGGCTCTCGCATATGAGGCGTTTTGGAAAGCGACCAGATCGGATCCCAACCGGAGGGTCCAGACCCCAGCTGGTGAGAAAACCGGAACGGTTCAGACCCCTACCTCCGGACAAAGATTTGCTCACATCTGTGACTTCGTGATCGTCTTGGCAATGAAGACCGAAAGGCATCCGTTCAGGAAACATTATCGTTTTTCATATGCGCATCTTGGACCTAGACCTTTTCCACTGCCTTGTTATACGCAGGTTCTGGGTGCTCCAGAACGGCCATATACGTTCAAGGCGCTCCGAGACGACAGCGAATATGAGCGTAGACAAAACGTGCACACAATGTGTGTCAAGTTTATTTAAAACGCATGGGGCGCGTATCCGAAATTTCATCGCAGCCGACACGAAGCGTTTGCGGAACGTACATGCCACGCATGCGAAACGTATCGCAAACGTACAACACCGTGTACGCAACACAGTGGTCACGTAGATGACGCCTGTATGAACGCACCCCCAACGGATACAAAGCGCTCATGGGGCAGATTGCTACGTAGAAGAAGCGTATACGAACCGTACATGGAACTCACATGCAACATATCTGAAGCGCCTGTGAGCCGCATACGAACCGTACATGACAATTGTACGCAGAGATTTGTTGCACTAAAAACACAGATTTGAAACGCAAGGGATGCGTATTTTCGCAACACAAGCCAAGCGTATATTAAACACGCCAGAAACGCATCTGACACCTAGATGACACCTTTAGGAAACGTACCCGGAAGGTATACGAAGGAAAACGCACCGTATACGAAACGTACATGGAACGTATATGTAATAGATTTGCAATGTTTTTGAGACTGGGATCGGTGTTGGAACACAACAATAAAGTAGTACAGAATCCTGCGGGAGGCTGGGGCCGGCGCATTTCTTATTGAATTCATGCAGTTGAGCTGCACTCTATACAGCAATTGTGTTGCAGGCGGGGGTCCGCGCGCCGCATAGTGAATTCCGAATCAGAGAAGCAAAGAACATGACATAATCCTGCTGGCGGCTGTGACCAGCGAGCTGCGCAATGGATTTTCCATTGGGCAACACATAAAACAGGTGCGAATCCTGCGGGGGGCTGGGATCGGCGCATCTCTTATTGAAGTCCGAAGGGGAAATCAGTAAACTGTATAGCTGCAGGCTGGTATCGGTGCATGGCGCACATACTAGTTCTTCGCTTCCGTGTGAGAAATACAATAAAATAACATTTCTGCTGGAGGCTGGGATCGTCGCATTTCTGGTTGAATTCATGACTGAACGCAAGTAGACGATGCAACGATTTGTTAGGTTGGGGCCCACGCGGTTCATATTGAATCCGGACGGAACGCAACAAGTAACACAGTAACCAGTTATGTTGGAGGCTGGGGTCTGCGCCTGTCCTATTGAATGCGAACATTGAGGGCTTCGCGATGGGTCTAGGTCGGCGCAGTTCATATGGAGTCCGTTAGACAGAAATCCCGCAGGAATCCTTCAGGGGGGGCGACTGGAATCCTTCAAGAATCCCGCAGGCCTCCTCGTACATCTTCAGAAATCCTTCAGGGCACTTCTGCAATCCGTAGGAATCCCTCGGGAATCCTTCACGAATCCCGTCGGAACCTTCAGGAATCTTGTAGGAATCCATGAGGGATCTTATCCTTGCGGACTCTTTGGGGGATCTTCCAGAATATGCAATGATGCCCCCGGAATCCATAAGGCGTCTTCGAACAAAATTACAGGAGTTTCCGGAAAGCAGTTGGACTTGTTGGGGGAGTCCATTAAGACTTGTTGCGAGTTTCAGGAATCCTGGAGGAATCTTTTGGGAACCGTGCCAGGCATTCTCAGGAATCCCGCGCGAATCCGGAGGAACTCCTCCAGGAGTCAGGGATCCCCCAGGAATCCGCAAGGACCCTTCAAGAATCGATAAGGAATATCCGGGAATCGATCGAGGTACCTCAAGAATCGATCAGGAATATCAGGAATTCGCAAGGACCCTTCGAGAATCGATCAGGAATCGATCGAGGTACCTCCTCCGGCGGAAGGTGCCGGAAAGTAAGAGATGCGCCCTCAAAGGGATGGCAACGATTTTGGGGTCCAGGTTTCTGGAGTCAGCCATATCGGTTTGGCTCGTGGAATGCCGCAGACTCATAAGGTCCAGCGCTCCAGTGCTGATTTGTACGGCGTTGGATACGGAAGCCTTGGATAAGGAACCAATGGTCAGACAGCCGATGGAATTCCAATCGTGGGTTCGCCATGGGTTTTGCCACCGTTCTCCTTGGTCAAGGAGTCCTGCAGGGTCTGAAGCCCCTTTGGGACATTCCTTCACGAACGCCCCCACGGTGTTGCATTTTTGCACGACGTGGGATATCAGGCTACGGAGAAATATCAAGAACTTTGCCGAGTGTTATATGGATCCTCCCGAATGTAATGGCGTTGTCGGGTGCCCCCGAGCTCTTCCGAGAAGCTCTGCTTTGCTCTGGACTGCTCCGCCACGCGCGGCTTCTTCCCGCCTGCCCGCCCGATTCGCCCGTCAGGCCCCTCCCGCCGGAAGGCCCTTCCGCCCGACCTGTCGTTCAGGGTGCGCTGGCTTTCAGATCGTTCTCATGTCTCGTCTGCCTGGCCCGCCCGCTTGGGTCAGCCCGCCCGACCCGCCCATTGTGGTCCGCTTGCCCGACCCCTCTCTTCGGGCCCGCTGGCGAAGCGGTCCGCCAGTGAGGCTTTCTCCTCTGGCCAAGCGGTCTGACGGCGAAGCGCTTCTCTGGCGAGCCGGTCCGCGGATGAAGCGCTCTCGAGCCTTCGCGGCCCCCCCGCCCAATAGTCTGGTCAAAGTGGATCACCAGACCGGTCTGTGCGCCCCGCCCAGCCGTGGCGACGGGAACGTCCAGAGCCGCATCAAGGCGTCCACAACAGCGACGTCGACGTCTTCGTCGACGTGGGTTGTTCGCCACCAGCAGATTTGCGCCCTCCTGAGACTGTGCAGACAAGGAGCGCGGCGCTCGTCGTGCGTCTGGGGAGCACTCCGTTCCATGTCATGCCCATCGGGCTCACAGCCGTCACTCAGAATATATGCGGGGCCAGTTGTCGTGTTTGGGGTGAGGAGGGAGAGTGCTTTTCACCGACTCCGCTCCGCAGCATTTTCAAACAGCGCTGGGCCAAAAAGGTGTGCATGCGTGAAGTCCAGATTGCCTTTCAAGCCTCGCCACGCCCCCCCCCCTCTCCCCCTCCATGCAGGTAGATTTGCCAGGGTCTACAGAAAAAAACAACATCAAAACCTCGCGTGACAACAGGTAACTCCAGGGCGAAGGCCGGAAGCGAGGTGGGACAGCAGCCCGCCAGCCGAGAGACGCGCCGAGGCGCCCCGGAAGTCGACGCCCAAAGGCTCTGACTGGGGCGGAAGCGCGATAGCAAGTAGAGGGCCAAGGGCGCCTCATCCCGGCAAGCGAGGGGCAAGGGTATCAATCGCCCCAGAGCGTGCCAGAACGCTTTCTCCGAGCGTTCCTGAGCGCTCTGCAGCAGACTGCCGCGGCATATATCCTCCAGGCCCGCCGGCTTTCTGCAGAGATTCCCGATGTACCCTTGTCCAGACTCGTCCCCGTCCCCCAGTTCCCAGGCCTCCAAAATAGCGAAACGCACGACGGGCGGTTTGTCTACACTTTCGGCCTCCAGGGGCCCTCGTCGGGCCCCGGGACCGTCTAACACACGACTTGGGATGGAATCCTGGTCCCGCAGAAAGGGGTCTATTCGAGAGGCTTGCGCCGTTCCGCCGGCCCCCATAGCAGTGATTTCGCCACGAGCCGTGCCACCGGGCCTGGCCTGTGGGCCAGGGGCCTCGGGGATGCACATGTGAGGGTCTCCCGTATGCCTCGTGGCGGCCTCTTGGCGGGCTCTTGGGGGCAGTTGATTGGCTCTGAAGGGGTCTCGGGGGTGCACCTTCGTAAGAAATTCATGACGTCGTGGAGGGGGTCAGCTTCCGCTGGGGCGGTCGCCTCGGGTGGGGTGGGGGGGCAGGCTTCCCTGGAGCCTCCCTGGGAGCCTCTCGGGGTCTCCTTGGTCGGGTGTTGCTAGAGGTGCCCCTGGCCCAAGGTGCCCCCAGGATTTCCAAGGGTGCCCCCACGGCCTCCAGAGCACCCCTCATGACCCCTCGAGGGCCCCAGGGCCCAGGGCTCCGAGATTGAGCGACACGTTGGGGGCACCTTGGGCCAGGGGCACCTTCAGTGACACCCGACCTGGGGGCCTCGGGGGAAGGGCTTCATGGGGCGCTCTCGGCCCACCTCGCGCCCTCGCAGGCCGCCTCCGAGGCCTTCCTGGGTCGCCTCGGGGCCCTCCCCGGCGCGCTGCAGCGCTGTCCATCCACGAGAGCCGTTGCCGCCGCCTTCCCAGACATACGATGCTCCATCTTATGCGCCGCGCGGACCCCAGAGGTCCAGCCCCCCTCCCCGGGACTTGCTTTTCATCCTGGGTCGTTCTGTTGACCGGTGCTGGGGCCTGGCGAGGGCCCCCAAAGGCCGGAAATGGCCCCAAGCCATCCGCCGTTTTTTGTTGCGCGCTCTCTCGTTTTTTTTGATTGTTTTGTTCTCTCTCTCTCTCTCTTTCTCTTTCTCTTTCTCTGTACAGCGAGAGGAGGCCTGGGTTCGTCTTAAGAAGAAACGCGCGGCGCCCTCCCAGGTCTGCTCGGCCTTGGACTGCCCGCCGACGCGGGCGTCGGCAACGGCCGTCTCCACCGCCGCGGCCGTCGCGCCGACGCCGCTGCCGCGGCCGTCGGACGCGTCGGAGCAGGCGGCGCCAGAGGCTTTCGGCGGCGGCCGTCGTCATCGCCGTCGTTAGCGGCCTCTCAGCGGCGCACACAGGGGGGTGGTGCGAGGGGGGTTGCTTTCTAAGAAGGCAGGGGGAAGGCTTCTTGGGAAGCATTCTCTTGGAAGCCTACATGTGCTTCTAATGAGGCCCCTGCCTTCCGGGCAGCGCCCCTGCCTTCTCAGAAGGCCACCTCCGCGCGCCACCCCTTTGTGCGTGCCGCCGAGCCTCGGCGTCGTCGGCGTTGGTGTTTGGGTCGTCCTCGTCCTCCCTTCAGATCTGGGCGTCGCGAATGAAACTCGTGACGACCAGACCTTCGTCGCTCTCGCTTTCTGCGGATGGCGCCTCTCGGCCGCCAGACCGTGAAGAAACGACTGCGGGATGGGCTTGCCCCATAGACATGGGCGAGCTCCCTGGCTGGGCCCCTGCGTCGCGCAAAAAGTGCAACGCCGGAGTGGAGGTTTCTTCTCCTCACTCCCGTCGCCCCCCTTGCCCGCTTCGTGATCCACCTCGTCCCCGTCGTCGTCGGCCTCCCGCTCCTCTTCGGCGACTTGGTGGCTGCTGGCGGCGTTGCCTGTGGTCCCCCAAGAATATATGTATATATATATATATATACATACATACATATATATATATATATATATATATATATCCTCCTTGTCCTCTTCCCTCTCCTCCCCCCTCCTCGGCGCCCAATAAACAGGATGGGGAGGAGGATCGGTTAGCTGGGCAGCCCCGGGAACACCAGAGAAAAGGCGCGCGCGCCAGCAAGAGACTCTGAGCTCAGATCCCCGACGTCGTGACTCTTTCATGACGTGGACCTCCATCGTCTGGACCCACTTGCTGGGACGAGTTTTTATCATCCCGAGTCGTTTTCGACGGTCCCGAGGGCCGGTAAGGGCCCGCGGAGGTCGGAAATCGATAGACACTCATCCCGTCGTGATGTTTTTCATTGCCCGAGAGTGGACTCGCCCCACCAGCAGCCCTGGCACCGGGCCGGCTGCCGTCCTCCCCGCGGCCCGCCGCCGCCGCGACAGCGCGTCGCCGGCTGCTTGCGCCGCCCCGCAGCGGCACGAGATCATGCCGGCGCTTTCCGAGGTCCCTTGGATCCCCGCGGGGGTTGCTAAGGTCCGAGGAGGCCCATTTGAGACACCGACAGTTGGCCTTCGGGGGGTCCTCTCGCCGCCACGGCCGGACGCAGCGCGAAAAACGAGTGCGTTTGGACCCCGGGAGGGGTCCGGGGACCGATTTTGAGCCGATTTCGAGCTCCCAGTGTCTCAAACGGGCCTTCTCCGATAAGAGGATCTGAGGGTTCAAAAGTGGGTGCTCATTTGAGTTATGTCTCGCCTAACCGAGCTGACGAGCGGGTTGCAGATGCCCTAACTCAGTGGCTTACGGGCAGACCCGCGCCCAGCGAGGCTCGCCCCTGGGCGTGCGAGCAGGCGAGAGCGTGGCCTGCGCGCGCCGCTAGGCGACGCGCATTTGTCAGGGGCCCAGCGCTGCCGACGGCCCAGCGAAGGGGTCTACACCTGTGGGGCTCCGCGCTGCGTCAAGTCAGCAAGACACCGGAGATCTGGGTCCGAGCACGCCGCCGCGGCAGAGGTGCCGCTAGGCGGCGCCGGCCCGTCGCGCGAGCGCCGCTTGGAATAGCCTCAAGGTATACACCACGCAGTCAGGTCGGTCAGGACGCCGAGGAGCTCGGCGCAGAAACGCGGTGCACAGATGCTCCAGCGCCCCACGGGCTGGGCAGCTGGGGCGTCTATGCACCAAGCTCGTTGGCCGACACAACTTAACTACGTGAATTCAGCAGGGGCGCTGGTAGAGCCGTGGTCGAACATCGGCCCAACCCCGTATAATCATATCAGCCAGCGTTGACTCCAAATAGGCAAGCAAGCAAGCAAGCAAGCAAGAAAGCAAGCAAGCAAGCGCGCCAGCAAGCGCGCAAGCAAGCAAGCAAGCATACATAAGAGGGGGTGCCATTGGAAAAAGGGGGGATAGGCGTAGGCATAGGGATTGCCATAAGAATTGGGGGGAGCATCGGAATTAGGGGGGGCAACGGACCAATGAGCAGGGTTTGAGCTGGGATTCCGATCGGGCAAGCCTATTTGGAGAATCTTTAATTCTTTCGGATCCCGCTTTATCCGGCGCAGTCGGGCTTCGTACTGGACGCAGTCTGGGCTGCTCCGGCTCAGCGGCTCCTGAGTAGGGCTCAGCCGCCCTTCCAGTCGTTGCCACGGAGACCTCCCAGGACTTGCCCTCCAACCTCTCCCCAGGGTCGGCTCTCCGTGCCGAGTCGTATTTTTTGACGGCCCGTGAGCCCCGAGGACGGCCCCTGAAGCCCCCAGTCGGGGAAAAGCCTCTGCCTCGATGGTTTGCCAAGACGGTGAACGTCTGGCGCCGCGGGGCGAACAGGCCGCAGACCAGACGACTCGTCGCAGCAAGCCCCGCGCGGCAGACGAGGCCAGCGGAGTGACTTGGCCTGCCCCCCGCGCGGGGTGCTCTGCGGCGCGCTCGGTCGGCGCATCCAGATCGGCATGGCGCGCTCCAGAGTTCAGGGGCAACGTCCGCGTGGGGATGGGCTCCGAGAGGAGCGCGTCGACCCCGCACCGCCCATCCATCGCCGACGGGGGCCCCATCGCCCGCCCCCGCCCAGGAGCGTCGGGCCTCGCCATCGGGCGGCCCGTCGACGCATCGCCGGTTCCAGCTCGACGCGCACACCCCCCGAGCCCAGTCCTCCTCCCGGCGCCCGCCCCTCCTCGGTGGCCGCGGGCGGGCGCCAGGGCGCCAGGGCGGAGCCCACGGGGTGCCGCGCAGCGCCGGCACCCCGTCGACGAGCAGGCTCGGCGAGCGGGCGTGTAGCGCGAGCTGCGCGCCCAGCACCCCGTCGCGCCGCCACCCCCTAAGCCGGGTCCGTCTTGCGCAGGAGGGCGGCCGCGGGGCGGGCACGCGCCGCCGAAAGGCCTGGGGCAGAAGCGGCGACGGAGGAGAAGAGGACGCGGAGGAAGGCGCGTGCACCAGGTGCTGGAGGCGGAGGAGGAGGAGGAGGAGGAGGAGGAGGAGGAGGAGGAGGACCAGTGTAAACCCAAGACGCATCAAAAGATGTTGCAGTACACCCCATCTAAGCTTCCCCCGTCATAGGTGCCAACCAGAATTCATGTTCAACGCTGCCGGTGGTCCATGAGAAGACAAGCGTCAGAGACTCTCCCGTCGTGCCAGAACGACATACCTCGGTAACGCCGCGGATCTCCCCGCATGTCGCGTCCTTGTCAATTGTGCCAGACAGCCATTCCTGGGACTTCACTTCAACACCGCGAATGAACGTGAAAGTCGCATCCTGACAGGCCGAAATCGCGCCAGGACGTTATTCCAGGGAACTCCACCATGCGAATTTTTGAAACGGTCGCAAATTCTGAAGTCGCATGTTCGCGGCGCTAAAGCGAGAGCCACATGTTGGAAATGAGCCGCCCTCAATGTTTGAAGCTGCTGTAAACTTCTAAAACGAATGCGCGCGGCGCTGAGGCGAGAACGGCATTTTGAAAAGGAGCTGCCCTCCGTCCCTGCAGCCGTTGCAACCTGAAGATAACGAATATGCGCGGCGCTACGGCGAGAGTCACGGTTCGAAGACGACCCGCCCTCCGTCCGTGAGGCCGATGCAGGTAGCAAGCTCTCGGATCCTGAATGGCGAGGGAGGTTCAGGGACACCCAGCTCTCCCTACCAGCAAGTTTGGGGGTGCGACCGGAGGAGGAGGAGGAATGAGGATGGAGGAGGAGGAGGAGGAGAAGGATAGGCAGATGGATGAGGAAGGAGGAGGAGGCATCAGAAGGATAGCGAATGAAGGAGTTGGAGGAGGAGAAGGAGGAGGAGGGATGAGGTACGGCGCTACAGGTAAGGTCCTGCGTCATCGGCAGCCGCTACGACATCCCCTGGGTGGCTCGCCGCCCTTCCCCTCTTCTCGAGGCGGAGGAGGAGGAGGCGGATGAGGATGAGGAAAGGAGGACGACGAAAGAAGGACGTTCGAGGAGGAGCGGGAGGACGGCGGCGGACCGCGGCGGCGGGCGGCGGGCGGCGGGCGGGCGGCGGGCGGCGGGCGGGCGGCGGGCGGCGGCCGCGGCAGGCCGCGGCGGGCGCGCCCGACGGGGCCCCGCTGGAGCGGCCACCGGGCCGCTTCACGGCGCGCCGCCGCCCGCGGGACGGCTGGGAGGACGCCCCGTCAGGAACGCTCGGGCGTGGGCGCCGTGTAACCGACGCCGCCGCCGCCGCCGCCGCCGTGGTCGTCGTCGTCGTCGTCGTCGTCGTCGCCGTCGTCGTCGTCGTCGTCGTCGTCGTCGGCGGCGTCGTCGTCGGCGTTGTCGTCGCCATCGTCGTTGTCATCCGTCGTTCGTCATGGTGGTGGTTGTCGCCGTCGTTCTTCGTCAATCGTCGTCGTCGTCGTTCGTCGTCGTTCGTCGTCGTCATCGTCCGTCGTCGTCGTCGTCGTCCTCGTCGTCGTCGTCGCCGTCCTCGTCGTCGTCATCGTCGTCGTCGTCGTCGGTGCCGTCGTCGTCGTCGGTGCCGTCGTCGTTGTCGTTCGCCGTTCGTTGTTCGTCGTGTTCGTCGTCTTCTTCCTCGTCGTCAATGTGGTCGTGGCCGTTGTTTGTCATGGTCGTCGTCATCGCGTTGTCCTTGTTGTGGTGGTCTTCGGCGTTCGTCGTCGTTGTCGTTGTCGTTGTCGTGGTCGTGGTCGTGGTCGTCGTCGTCGTCGTTCGTCGTTGTCGTTGTTCGTCGTTCGTTGTCGTCGTCTTTCGTGATTTTTTGTTGTCGTCGTCGTCGTCGTTCGTGTTTCCTCCTCCTCCTCCACCTCCTTCTCCTCCCCCAAGTTTATCTTCCTCCTCCCACCCCAATACTAACCGGGCCCTGCGCCGCTAGAAGAAAAACCTCTTTCTCATCCTCCTCTTCCTCCCCCTCCCCGTCCGTCATCATCACCATCACTTCGATGAGCAAGATGCCCACTTTTCTCTCACAACCCATCAGGTGTTTCAAGAGTGGCAGATTGCTCCGTCGGCCATCGAACTACTCGTGCGCAGACTAAAGTGGTGGCAGAGCATTTTGCAGAACCCGAGCCAACACGGCCAGTTCCTTGCTACCTTTTTTGGACGGTGTTGCTTCGAGCAGCAGGCGGCCATAAGTCACCGCCCAGTCAGTGCTTCCACTCTCAACGAGCAGGGTGGGTTCTCCGCTGCTCCCAGTGTTTACCCGTGGGCCAAGCAGCTCGCGGATGACCTGTTGTGCCTGGCGTCACACCCCGCCGGCGAGAGTTTCAAGGAGGTGTGGCAGCCGCCCGTTGTCAACAACTTGTGGGAATATGAGTCTGTTCGGAACACCTTCCAGCATTGCGACGTTCGTACATTCAGACCCTCCTACTGGACCTCACAATTGGCACCACCAGGGACCAGTATGTTGGCCTCCTCCCTCCCATCGACGACCTCATACGACGAGACGGACAGCGACGACGAAATCAATCGCCCGTTCGTGTGTCAAATTCCCTCTTGTGGTCTACGGTTTGGGGCTCTCAAACAGTTGGTTACACATCAGTCGAAATCTCGGGGGGGGCGGACACGATATGCCATCACTACTCACAACATTACAGGTCGACAGCACATGTATCGTATGTCAGACTACTTTCCCAAATCAAGATCATGCTACACGACATTTACGACGCTCACGGGTTGCTGGTAGGTGTATAGCGGAGCTCACACATCATGTATATCCATGGCACCATGCTACATATTCATTACACTGCCCCCTCCGTGAACATGAATTCGATCCCGCCTGCCAACGCGAATTTCAGGATTACTCTAAGTATCGAGCCCATCTTCTCTCGCATCTTCCGCCGTCGCCATCGGGGCCGATGCTCACGCCGACTATCAGGACCGAGGCCCGCCCGACGAAGTCGGGCCCATCACAGCTTCGAGCAGCCGCCTCGCTCAGACCTGCGCCTCGGCCACCTCGCGTGATCGAGGACGCCTCAGCAGCGAGAGCAGCCCTCCGCCGAGCAGCGGACCTCATTCTGGGCACGCGGGAAGCGGTTCGACATCGGCCACGCGTCGCTCGACCACAACGTTGGACAGCAGCGCCCCCGACAACGTCCCCAATAGCGGCTCCATCCTCCACCGCAGCGTGGACGCCCACACTGCCAGTACTATGACGTGAGCGCGATGACGGCAGCAGCGGCGCTACCAGGAGAGGACTCCGCCGCCAAGGCCGCGCAGCCAGCAGCCGAGCCGAAGCGCGCGAGCTGGCGCCTCCCCCTGGGCTCCTCCAGGGGCTCCACGGCATCTGGCGCCGCCCCCTGGAGCGACGAGGCCCCCCCCCCCCGCGGCCAAGCCCCGCCTCCAGGAGCCGCCGATGAGGCCAGGTCAGTCACCGAGAGCGCCAGTCGACGCGGCGATCGAGGTCGACGAGGACGAGCAGGCAGCCAAGGGCGACATGCGCAGGAAGCGCAGGGGCGGCCGCAGGGCGAGGAGGGGGGCCCACAGCGACAAGGTCTGGAGCAGCAAGGACAATAACCTGATGGCCTTGCTACGCACCGCGCTCCAGCTGCTGCCCCAGACCACGCACCGGGCGCGCCTCAACGGCAGCGTCGACATCGACGCGTACACGATGACGACGAAGCGCCCACTCGTGGACGGGATCTCTGCCGTGCTGGAGGGCTAAGTTACAGGGGCATGCTCGACAAGCTCCGCAGCGGAGACGCGGATGACAAGCAGAAGCTCAAGGCGATCGGGCACCCAGCTCCAGCATTGGGGCTCGTCGCGCTGGAGAGCCTCCTGAAGTGCGACGTGGGCGGGGCACCCGAGCAGGATATCAGCCTCCACCTGGAGCAGGCTCAGCCGCCCGACGAGATGGCCGAAGTCGAAGCCACGAAGTACGAACTGCAGCAGCATATCAGCTTCATACCGCTCGAGCGATGCTTCGGCGTGGACAAGCCCGAGTTGATCGTGGGGGCCCCAGAATGCCCAGGCCGCAAGCTAATCATGAAGGCGTTGGCCGCCGAGTGCGCGGCGCAGCACCACCGCGGCGTGGCGCCGGCGGGGGGGCTCGAGGAAGAGGCGGCGCACTGGCTGGAGACACTCGAGCAATCGTTTTTGTTAGGGGGCCCCCGCTCCCTGCCGGCCGCCGCGGTGTACAGGTACAACACCAGCGTCCGCCTTCAGAGGACTCAGAGCAGGAGCATGCCACAGGGGACGCGCCACCAGTCTCAGAAGACTCAGAGCAGGAGCGTGCCGACGGGCGCGCGCCGCCAGTCCCAGCACCTCCTCCTGTCTTCGCTTCCAGGCCAGGCCTCCCAGCAGCTGCCGACTCGGGGTCGGCAGGGCGTGCGCAGCCAGTCTCAGAATACTCAGAGCTGGAGCATGCCGCACGGCGGGCGCCGCCAGTCCTGGAAGACTCAGAGCTTGAGCATGCCGAAAGGCGTGCGCCGCTGGTCTCAGCTTTTTCTATCTTCTTGTCTGGGCCAGCAGACTCGGGGTCGGCAGGGCTGGCACAGCCAGACTCTGCCGACTCGGGGTCACCCCATCTCGAAGGGCCCGACGGCCGACGCGATCAGCTCGATACAGCAGCAGAAGACGATGCCGCACCTTTTTTGTTTGACGAATCACTGCCTCCTCGAAGCGTCTCGTGGCAGCGCGACGCAGCCCCCTGTGTCAGCACTTGCGAGACGTGGCCCCCAGAGCGGGGACTAACGAGAGAGTCGGCACTCCGCGGCGGATCTTATTTTTTCTTTAACGCTGTGCAAGCTCGTTTGGTCCTGATGCCGAAGAACAAATCATTACCATCAGCATCGCCGCCACCATCATCATCATCATCATCAGCAGCATCATGATCATCATCATGATGCTGATGACCGTCATCACCACCAGCACCATCACAATCACCATCGCCATCATCTTCACCACCACCACCATCACCACCACCATAACCAACATCATGATCATCACCACCATCACCATCAACATCATTATCATCATCGTAAGGGTCATCACCACCATCATCATCATCATCACCATCACCAGCACCAACATCATCATTACCATCGCCCGATCACAGAGCTCTGGGCGCGGGGCCTCCCACCCTCCCCCGCCCCCCTCCTGCCTCATCCTGGCAGGTTTTGCTTGTGATATGACGAAGAGGGTGCACAAATCCCTCTTCGCCCCCTCCTCATCGCCCTCCTTCCCTCCTCCCCTCCCCCCTCCTCCCCCCTCTGTTCCCACTTTCCCTCCCTTCCTCTCCTCCTTCCACTTCTCCCTTCCTCTTTCCCCCCTCCTCCCTCCCTCCCTCCCTCCCTCCCTCCCTCCTTCTTCTCCTCGGAGAGGCTTAGCCAATCCGCCGGGCCGCCTGCTGGGGGCCGTAGCCGCTGGCGGCGGCGACCCCCTCTGCTTCGGCGGGGCGAGGGAAGACCCGGCGCCGCCCCGCCCCTCCCACCCCGCCGCCCAGGTCGCCATGGAGGAAGCGGGTTCTGAGGGAAGCTGGCCCTGAGGTTTTTTCACCGTTTTCGGGCCCGCGAGGCCTTCCATGGGTTCCAAGACTGTCAGAGAAAGGCTCAGGATGAAGAAGTCGTCCTGGGGGAAGGCGCCAGGGTTCAGGACCCGTGAGTTGTCGGAGGAGGAGAACGGAACGGTTACCTTTCCGTCGTTTTGTCCTTGTTTTGGCCTCCAGTGAGGCCATCGTCACCACTGCTGGATTCGCTTTGGAATTCTGGGCAGAACCCATCAGGTGAGAGGTCCAGGGAGTAGCGGTATTGGTACCTCTGGGTTTCCCACAGTCGGGGAAGGGGGGGATCAGAGTAAACTCAAGGAGCATCAACGATGCTGCAGTACACCTTGCGTCCAAGTTCCCTCTTCACAGGCTATTGCAATGTATTTGCAATGTATTTTCATTGCGGGAGGTGTTCCTTCGGATGACAACCTTCTACGAGTCCACGATCGTACCATCGTGCCATCACGCATCGGATGTCAACGCCGCGAGTCACGGTGGCCGTTGCGTCCTGACAATTCTAGAGAGCACCAGCAGACCATTCGTGGGACTTCAACCAGATGTATGAATTCTTGAGATAGCAGCGGGCTTTGAAGACGAATGTTCGTGGAGCTCAGGCGGGAACCGCGTCGTGAAAGCCAGTCGCCCTCTACCTTTGAAGTTGTCACGAACTCGTGTGGCGAATGTGCGCGGCGATGCGGCGAGAGCCACATTCTGCTTCGAGAACGGCCTGCCCTCATTCGGTCACGATGCTGCAACCTTTCCTAGCGAATGAATGCTCGCGGCGCTGCCGCGAGAGCCACGGTTTGAGAACCGCCCTCCCTCCACCCTTGAGGCTGCTGCAGACTTCGATGACGAATGCGCGCGGAGCGACGACCCGCCCTCCATCTTTTGAGCTGCTGCGGATTGTAAGCTTCAGCGTCATACCCGGTGAAGAAGTCTCGGGTGAAACGCCCGACCCGCCCTCCCGACACGTCCGTGGGTGCGACAGGGGGGAGCTGCTTGTGAGGAAGCGGAGGAGCAACACCAGGAGGAGGAGGCAGGGGAGGAGCGCCGCTGCACAGCGACACTGGAGGGTTGGTGGCCGACGACTCAGCCCGGCGAGTCGGGACCATGCGTGCTTGCCAGGATGCCGGCGGTGGGCACTGGCAGAGGCGCCGGCTAGTTTTCTAGGCTTCCCCTGTCCTCTACTGTGTTCGGAAGGGTGACAAGCATATTAGTGTTCGGATGTTCAAAAATTGGTCGTCAATGGTTCGGGACCAGCTGTTCGCGAACTACAAACCCCCAAGGGCCTTGTCCACGGCCGTTCGGTTGAGTTGAAATAGATATGTTCGAAACGAATGGTTTGTACACGGTTCGGGACACATGTTCGCAAGGATGTTCGGGTCAGCCTTGGCTGATTGTCGCCTTGCAGATGCAAAGCGGCGCGTGGACTTTTCATCCCCAGGGGGTGGATCTAGGTTCTCGAAAGAGCAGTACGAGAGAGCAGTAGTGATGATGAGCAAGGCCTTGAGCAGAATTCCGCAATGATTCTTGTCTCAGCGTCTCAGTTTTGCTGCGAACACTGGGTCATACTTCGGCCCGAATTCGTAGTAGATCCTGTCGGCCAGGAAGGGTTTGCTGGCAATGCGTTCCTTTGAGTGGCAGTAGGCTTTTTGCCGCAGCCATCCCACAATATAGACAAATCCACAAGTCCAAACTGTTGTGATAGGCAATGGAATGATTCGAATGCACCTACCCTTCGAGCAGATGGATGCGTGCACCATCGGGCGGTCTAATAGTATTTATGGCTGGGCACGTCAGTACAACACAACCCGCGTGGTTAAGCCATTCGGTGACTTGGTCGGCTGAAGCTGAATACTGGCACCACGCACATATACGCCCACACTCAAGTCACGTTTGCTGCGGTGAAAGTGGCAACATCACATATGGACGTGGCAGGGGGGGACCGTCCAGCTGCAGCAGGGTGAGGCAGGGGAGCTAAAGAAGGACACGTGGCTATGGTCTCGTGCCGCTGGGCTCGCTTCAAGCAGTGCTCCGATAGCATTGCGTCCAAAGTGGCATGCAACAGCATCTGGCGCACCAGAAGAGAGCGCCATCAGATTCCGTCACCTTGGCCCGCTCGGCACTGGACATGCAATTTTCTGTCGCACCCTGCCCGGCCAAATTGTCGACTACGTCATTTTCAAGTCGAGTCCATTTGAAATGCCACGATCAGCTGCTTGGCTGACGGTGAGGTGGAGACTGGTCACGACAATTCTGGCCGACCCGTCCCCACAGAAACACGTGCGGATCAGACGGCGACTGAGTTTTATCAGCATGCCAGCCGTGAAGGACCGTCTCGGCGTCAGTGACATAGATAGTGGGGCCAACAGATTTTTCGACGCTTCGATCCCCCCAACTGCATCTTGGCACTCCCCAGCCTGAGCGCGTCTGAGTCAGAGATTCTTAACCCATGGCGATTGACTCGATCGCCAGTGGGAGCGCTCAGTGAGCGCTCCCGGAGCCCTGAAAAGGAGAGCAGTCAGGGAGGCCAAAGCCAGCGTTCCGCTCGAGACGCCCCCACGACCTGCCCGCAGACGGGCCAGTGCAGTACACCGTTGGCGGCTCCTCCGCCCCCCCCCCCCCCAGATTTTCTTCGGGATGCCCAAGAGCTCTGCGCAGGCGGAGGAGGAGGAGGAGGAGGAGGAGGAGGAGGAGGAGGAGGAGGAGTTATGACCTCCGTGGACCCTGCGCTGAAGCTCAAGACATGGGATGTCCGGGCCCCCCCCTTCCTCCCCCACCCGCCGCGGGTTGCCAGAAGTGGCTCTGGCCCTGGGCGTGCTTCCCCGGCTGGTCGTGCCAGTGATGCGCCCCTGGGGGCCCGCTGGGTCTCGTGAGCGGTGCCACGGGGGCCCTCGGGGCCTGCCCTGAGATCCGACGACGCGGGAAAGCATGCCACCCCCGCGGGCAATTGCGATTGGAGCCTTTTGGGCCCAATCTTGCTGCGGCACTTCGGGTCAGGTCGATCTGTGGTGGTCCCAGGCCCGAGACCTGGCGAAAACGGCCGGTGTGGAAAAATTGCAACGCCCAGGCCTCAGGGGCCAGTACGGTTTTTTGCGGCGCCTGGGTCTGCGCACCGCTGGCCCCGCTCCCTCGAGGCGCTGAACTTCGAGAGCCTCATCGCCTTCCAGCACCTGGCGGCCTTGGAGGAGGCGGTGAGCAGCGGTGCTCCCCGGGATCCCGCAACCGGCGGAAACGGCCAGCCTCGTCGTCGTCATCGTCGCCGTCGGCGCCGTCGCCGCCGCGTGGGCGGCGGCGGCAGCGTCCCTGAGATCCGGCGTCGCGAAAGAGATGCAACATCAAGGGACACCACGACCGGGGAGCCCCAGCTCCCATCTGAGGGTCCCGTGGCCGGCAGCCGGGCTGAAACTGCCCCGTGCCACAGTAATCAAGCAGTGGCGAAGCGTCCTGGCTCGCCTATAGCCCTACCAAACAATGGTTCCCACGAAATGTTCTTAGAACAATTTTGGCAGGGACTGTCTCGTTTTAACACATCGGGTCTATGTTCTAAGAACATTGTCTTTGTTCTTAGAACATTTTCGGGTTCTAAGAAAATGTCGTGGTATGACTATAGGAAGGCCGGGACGGTCGGCCCCTGCTCAAAGTAGCTGCGACGCCCGCGTCTCCGGGGCCGTCGTGGTCGCCTCCGTCGCCGCGCCTGCGCGGCCGCAGGCGCCGCGCTCGACGGGCGCCTGCCGCTGCTGCCGCAGCGCCCCGCCCCTGGCCCGCGCGGCGGCCGCGGCAGAGCGCTGGCGCCGGCGGAGTCGCCGCTGAGCGCTCGCGGCGCCCCGGCGGCCGCCGCCGCCGCCGTCCGCGTCGTCGTCGCGGGGGTTGTCGGCGCCGCCGCCCTCGGCGTCGCGGTCGGCGTCGGCGTCGGCGTCGTGTGTCGGCGTGGTCGTCGGCGGCGTCGGCGTGCCCGCCGTCTCTCGGAGGCGGAGGGCGCAGAAGGGGGGACATGAGAGGGAGTGGAGGGGAAGGCGGAGGAGGAGGAAGAGGAGGAGGAGGAGGAGGAGGAGATGGAGGAGGAGGAGGAGGAGGAGGAGGAGGAGGAGGAGAAGAAGGAGGAGGAGGAGTGCCTCCTCTTCTCAGGGGCTACGGTAGGGGGGGTATGCTCAGGGGGGGATGCACCAGTCCCCAAGCGCCCAATCATCACCAATAGGGACCCGAAAGCCCACCCCGCCCACGAACGTATGTTTTCGGCGACGTATCGCAGATGCTGGGTCGATGTTCGCCCCCTCCCTGAGCCAGTCTCCCCCGAATGCTCCCACTCAGAGCATACCACAGCGGGCCCGCTCGCCTCGCTATGTCAGCCAGTGGCGCGGGCGAAGAGCGGCGCATATCACAAGCTCGTCGCCGTCGTGGACGTCCTGTCCGGGGCGGGTGGAGAGGTGATGACCCCACTTGCAGTCGACACCTCGTTAAGGATTGGCCAGTTTCGCAAGGGCACCCTGGTCATCATTGGTAAGTGTTCGCCTTCCCAGCCCAATGGTGCCCTTCCCGATGCGTCCTGGCGCGCGGGGGGCAAGGGTTGCTACCTGGCTAGGGTCCCTTGCTTCCTTGGATACTTCGAGGGTCGGCGTCTTTTTTGTTGTATGTCGGCGCCCTCCCAGGGTCCGACATCCTTCAAATCCACCCTTGTCGTTGATTGGGGTTGCAACCCTGCTGACGCAAGAGAGCCCAGCCCCTTCGGCGAGCCTGCGGTCATCGAGCTCCACCCCCTGGGCGTCAGGAGGGCCTGGCTCCTGGAGCTCCTGGCTCCGGAGGCCGTCGCTCTCAGAGTCATGGTCGCCGACGGGACCTCGCGCCTCGGGGCAAGAGGGCCCCCCGGGGGCCGTCGCGAGCCGCTGGCGCCGAAACTTGTGCCCGGCAGGCGCGGGCAGAGTCCAGGTCCGCCGGGTGCAGGCCGGGCACGCGAACGCGAGCCTGCCGCAGCACATAGGGGGGGTCGAAGCGGGAGAGGTCGGACACCGACGACGCCGACGCATGTGCTGGGCCTCTGGCGCCTGCGTCTGCGCACCGTGGTGCCAGCTGGAGACTGGGAGAACGCTGTGCATGTCCATGCTCCCTGCGTCGGGCCCGGGTTCCCCGCGCTGGCAGCCGCCAGCCAGGCAGGGCCAGGATTCTGGGCCTCCCTGATGGCCTCAGAGTAAATGTGGTCGGAGGATCGCGCCGCACCGCCGATGCCTTTGGGGATGAGGCTCGATGTGGAGCCCGACTTTTTTCTACCCCGAGGGCGCCGACGCGTCGCCGACGTAGCCGATGCATCGCCGGTGCGTCGGCGATGTGTTGGCGATGCGGTGCGATCCTCCGATCCCATATGCCGGGACCCCATCTGGGAGGCCGTTGATCGGGGCTGTGAGTATGCCGACTAGACCACGATATGCTTGTCCGCCACTGAACTGCATCTGGCGGCTAAGACACTCTGCGCATTTGTTTTTCATTATCGATCGCCTGAAGAGCCAACCATAACATCATACTCCATACGTTGTCTGGTGGCGCTTCTGCGAAGTCCACGGTGCAGGGCCCAGATGCCGTAGTGGATATACGTGCGGTCCCCATCTAAGGATGAGGATCGATCTCTCCAGAGCGTTCCGGAACGTTCTCAGGGCGCTCTGGGGATTGCTGTCCGTATAGCGGCCCGCGGCGCCCGAAGGGTCATCGGGCTTTCTGAAGGAGTGCATCGGCAAAGGCATCATTCGGGCCTGTTGGCTCTCAGATAGATTCGACTCGTCCCGGTCTGGACTTGTGCTCATCCTGTCTTCGTCTTGGGGAGGGGAGGAGGAGGGGGAGAAAGGGGGCTGGGACTGGGACTGGGAATGGGATACTCAACCTTGAATGCTCTCAGTGCCTTCAGTACACGAAGACGAAGAACTTGGGAATGAAAGTGTACGCCGTCTGTTGGGGATGAGCACCACAACGCTGCAGCGTTCAATTCGCACGCGCTGCCTTTCACTTCACACATGCCGCCAATAACACGCACCCAGTTACAGTAGTCCGAAGTAGTCTAAACCACGATATATTGGCAGTCGCCCATGAAAACGATGTAATGCATAGACAGCACCACAGTGCGTTGGCAATGGTGAAAGCGAGCCCGTGCATTGACACTGTGGCTGAAACGAGTGCCCTCGAACCAACTGCTGGCGCAGACCAGCATGTGGACGCAAGCGAATCCGCCCCAAATGTGCCCAAGCATCCTGCTGAATTGAGACGATCCCGAACCAGTCATTAGGACGAAGACACGGCCCCGACCCACGAACGCGCCGTGGGCGTACGCCCAGGCTGCAAGGACCAGGGCTCGGATGGGCACGGAGCCTCCGGGCCTCCTCGGCCCGCACCCTGGGGACGGACCGTGGCCGGGACGATGCGGAGGAGGGAGTCCAAGCCATGCCACGAGCTGGGAAGGCAGGATCGTGCACCGCCCACCCACGACAGAGCACCTACCTCAACGTTACACAAGCCGTGGTTGTGGCGCCCGTTGGAGATGCGTGCGCCATTGAAGTAGGCAGTAACTACGTGCCGCAAGAACCTCGAGGTACCAACCAGCACGAGCTGTGAAGTCCGAACATCGGCAATATCTAGTGGCCTTCGTCCCATCCCGCCACCGTGCCTGGGTTGTGGGTCCGAGTTCTCAGGGATGCTTTTTCGGATGTCTTCGGGGCGCTCTCGGGAGCCTCGTAGAAGCAGTTTGAGGACCTCTTTGGGGTCTCTCGGGGGCCTCGTGGGAGCCTCTTGGGGCCTATTGGGGGCCTCTTGGGGGCTTCATGGGGCCTCCTAGGGGGCCTTTTGGGCCGAGGGCGCGAACTGTCCGTTCGGGTTCCCCACCTGGGCCCCCTCTTGGGGTCGTCCTTGGGCCCTCTTGGGCCGTCCTGGGCGCCTCTTGGGCCGCCTTGGGGCCCTCTTGGGCCGCCTTGGGGCCCTCTGGGGCTGTCTTGGGGCGATCTTGGGGGCCTCGCGGGCCGTCTTGGAGCGTCAGAAGGCCGAAAAGGCGAGAAGCCAAACACCTTCAAAAACCTTCGGGCAGTCAATGATTGTTCCCTCCTGGGGCCCTCTTAGGACGCCTCTTGAAACACTCCTGGGACGTCTTCGGGGCCTCTTGGGCCGTCCTGAGGCCATCTTGGGCGTATGGGGGCACTTTTGTGCTTTCTCGGAGGCATCATTGGCTCTTTTGGGTACCTTCAGGGCCATGTTTTGCCGGCTGCGCTGCCCCAGGACGCGCGCGCGCCACGCCCAGGGAATCCTCAGGAATCCGGGGGGAATCCCCAGGAACCTTTGTGAATCCCCGGGGATGCCAGGGGATGGAATCCTCGGAAATCCTTGTGAGTTCGCTGGCCTGGGCCCCCCAAACCTTTTAAAGCTTTACAGTTCTGAAATTCTCAGGGCTGCATGCGCCTTGGTGGCGGATATAATGCAATACCCACAAGCAGCAGTGAATTCAGCAAAACTGTAAGCTGGAAAGGTGCGCACGGGATACACCGCTGCAATGTGAGGAAAGCGCTCTCCAATGCAGGAGCATCACTGGCGCTCGATGCTCTTGCAACCGGCCTGCTCAACATGTGCCCATCTTTGCCACCATGAATAGAGAGAGAGAGAGAGAGGGACCCGAACAGTGCGTCGCCGCCGAGCTCCCGCCCTGGCCCCCCGAGCGCCGCGAGAAGGCGAAGGGCACGACTCGAGGCATCCCGAGGAAGTCAAGCTTACCTGAGCCAGAGTGGCTACGGAGGAGGAGGAGGAGGAGGAGGAGGAGGAGGAGGAGGAGGAGCGGGTGGGCGAGGTGGAGCGGGTAGGGGAGGCGGAGCGGGTAGGGGGGAGGCGGAGTGGGGAGAAGAAGAAGGGGGAGGACGAGGAGGAGAAGGAAGGGAGGGAGGAGGAGGAGGAGGAAAAGGAGGATCAGTCGTCTACCCTCATCGTGCCTTCGTCGTGTCCCTGGCGCTGGCGGCAGCCAGGCGCCGCCATCGTCGCGTCGGCCGTCTCCGAGAAGGCCCGCCAGGCCGGGCTGCGGAAGCAGCTCGCAGGCGCCTCGTCCCCGCCGGCGCGTCGCGACGCCCGCGGCGGCCCGCCGCGCCGTGCCTCTCGAATGGTTCGTCTGATCGCTGTCGTCCTTTAGGTAGCTCTCTTACTTTGTATCCGCGTTGCCATTTCCTCTCTTTCTTTGTTTTTCCCGTCGGAGCCGGGTGAACTTCCGTGCCCGCCGGTGACTGATTCATTGACTGACTGACTGGCTGACTAAACGTCCGGAGAGCGATTCTGACAACGCATTAGGAGGATGAGGAGGAGGAGGAGGAGGAGGTGGAGGAGGAGGAGTCACAAGAGGAGAACGATGGGGGGGAGGAGGGGGGCCATGAAAACGAAAAGGAAGAGCAGGAGGAGGAGGAGGAGGAGGAGGAGGAGGAGGAGGAGGAGGAGGAGAGTCAGGCGATCGCAAACACGGATTAAGGGGGCGTGGATTAGCGACGGGTCCCGTTGGGAGGGCATCTCCCCCAATCCATGGATTTGGCGACCGCGCGTTAAATCCATGGATCACTAATCTATGTTTGCGCGCCCCCGAGAGAGGGAGCAGGCGAAGGAGAAGGATGATGTGGTGCAGGAGCAGGGGGACGAGGAGGAGGAGGAGGACGGAGAGGAGAAGGAGGACAGGGAGGAGGAAGAGAGGACGGCGGGCAGGCTGGCCAGGAGGAGGAGGAGGAGGAGGAGGAGGAGGAGGAGGAGGAGGAGGAGGACGATGGGTAGGGGGATACATGGGTGCGGGTGCTTGAGGAGGTGCAGGAGCAGCTGCCACCAGTGGAGGACGACCAATGTCGCGATGGGAAGATGGAGGGCCAGGAACCATGAGGAGGAGGAGGAGGAGGAGGAGGAGGAGGAGGAGGAGGAGGAGGAGGAGTAGGAGGAGGAGGAGGAGGAGGCCGATGAGGAGGAAGACACAGTGGAGGCGGGCGGCGCAGGAGGCGGTGGCAGCACACCATCAGCAACATGGGAAGGATGAGGACGAGGAGGATGGGGAGGAGTTGGAGGAGTTGTCTGGTCTTGTCTTGTCTTGTCTTGTCTGCCTGCCTGTCTGCCTGCCTGCCTGCCTGTCTTGTCTGTCATGTCTGTCTTGTCTGTCTTGTCTGTCTGTCTGTCTGTCTGTCTGTCTGCCTGCCTGTCTGCCTGCCTGTCTGTCTGTCTGTCTGTCTGTCTGTCTTGTCTGTCTGTCTGTCTGCCTGCCCGCCTGCCTGCCTGTCTGTCTGTCTGTCTGTGTGTCTGTGTCTCTGTGTGTCTGTCTGTTTCTGCCTGCCTGTCTTGTCTGTCTGGTCTGTCTTGTCTGCCTGTCTGTCCGTCCGTCTGTCTGTCTGTCTGTCTGTCTGTCTGTCTGTCTGTCTGTCTGCCCGTTTGCCTGCCTGTCTATCTGTCTGTGTGTTGCTCTCTCTCTCTCTCTCTTCCTTGTCGCTCCTGCCCGCAGCGGCTCCCCCGCACGAGCACACCCGCGTGAGTGGCTCGCGCTCGCGCGCGGGCTGGCCGTCCGCCCCCCGTCCCCGCCGCTCCCGCGTGCGCCCGCGGCCGGGCCGCTGCTCCGTGCGTGCCCCCCCCCCTTGGGGAGGGCGTGGGGCGTGCGGGCAGCCCCCCCCCCCCGGGGGGCCCCCCGCGGGCCCCAACGGGCCCCCCAGGCTGGTCCAGGGCGGCTGGCTCGACACCCTGGGCGCCGCCTCCGGCGGCGCCCCCCTTGGGCGCTCCGCGCTCCTGGGTTGAGGTTGCTTGTGCGTGCAAAGTCAGGGCCTGAATCTAGTCATCGACCTCGCCCTTCTCCTGGCGTGATCAGCCGGAGAGCTCCCTTTCTCTCTCCGCGTCTGCTCCTCGCGAGGCGCCGCTCGCGCTCCCCTCGGGCTCTTCTCCTTCGCCCCCCTTCTCTCTATCTTTCGCCGCTCCCTGCTCCAATTGTCCGTCAATCGCTTGGCCCCAGAGGTGGCCCTCGGTGCTTTGGCATCGGACCTTCCTCCTCTCTTCTTCGCCCCCCCCCCCCCGCGCGACGGTCCAGACCGTTACGCCCCCGCGAAAAATTTGCGAGAGTCCGGCCCCCCCGCGAAAAATTCGCGAGAATCCTCCGCGCCGTGCACTGTCCTCTGACAGAGGCGCCCCCCAGGCCACCTCGCCCCGGTGGAACCCCCCCGGGCGATGCGCGAGGGCTGTTCCCGCGCGAGACCACCCCGGGCGACTCGTGCAGGACCTGAGCGGCGGAGACCCCCCCGGGCGACTCCACCGCTCGGACCGACGCCCCCCCGGGCGAGTCGGCCCGTCCTGGAACCCCCCCGGGCGATCCAGGACCCCCCGCACCCTCCCAGGCGAGCGGGGGAGCTACGGGAAAAGCCCCCGCCTAAGCCCCCCCTTTTTGAGGGAACTCTGGCGGTGGCGATCCGCGCCGGGGCGGCAGTCGAACACCCCCGGGCGATCGACCGCGGCAGATCCCTCCCACATAAAACATACAAAAGACACAAAACAACACAAGACAAGACAACACAACACACAGAAGCACACACGCACACACACAAAATAAGCACAAAACAACACCGGACGGAACATAACAAACATACAGAAACAAACACAACAACCACACACACACGCACACAACAATGATTAACTTATGGCTCTGACTTTGCACACCTAAGGTTGTGAGGCCGCCCTGGACTGCTCGGGGGGCCTCCCGGGGTCGGTTGATGCCTGCGCGGGCTACCGTGGGGGGGTTGTTTGTCCGCAGCCCGCAGCCGTACCGTCCTCCCCCGGAGGGGATCAACGCCAATACAGACACCGCTGAGAACCAGCAGAAGGGATGACCGAAGGCAGGCTGCAATGCCTGTGCTGTTTTGCTGGCTGTGTGTGGCCAGTGCTCGCCAATACAGACACCGCTGAGAACCAGCAGAAGGGACGACCGAAGGCAGGCTGCAATGCCTGTGCTGTTTTGCTGGCTGTGTGTGGCCAGTGCTCCATCGATGCATCCTTGCACATGCTACCACGCGCTGCCTCACGGTGCCGAGCCACACGCTGCGGGATGCGGGGGTCCTGCCGTGAAAAACGCACGATTGACGGTTTTGGACAACGGCTCTTGTCTCGGGGGACCCTCGTTGGGCCATTGGGACCCTCGGAGAACAGTTCTTTCAGGCGGGAAGCCCGCCCTGGGGAAGGGTCGGCGGCGCGCAGAGGGGGGTATCGGGGATGGGGGAAAACTCCTTGGAAACACCCCTGACTCTAAGAAGACGCGAGCCTTGCCTGTAGCCTCAAGGCCAGCGCCCTCTAAGAAGCAGCCCCCCTCCCAAGAAGCCTTCTTCGGCCCCCGCTTTCGAGCAGCGAATGGCGGCGCTTGTCGCCAGGATTAAAGCTAAGGAAGAGGCTAGAGCCTCAGGGGCGATGTAACTCGGGTCGATCCCCATCCCAAGCTTTTGGTGCTGTCACCTCCCGACCTTTCAAGGCGCTGTCCATCCATCCATCCCAAGAAGCCTTCCCCCCCTCCCTGCCTCCCCCCGTGCGCGCCGCCAGAAGGGGGCCAGACATCCGGGGGAGCCGCGCCGCAGAAGCACGCCGCGACGTCGAGTGCCTGGGTCGCCGCCCTTCTCGCCGGTCGCCGGTGCCCCGCGCCGCCGTGGAGCCGACGGGTCCCGAGGGGCATGGGCCGTACGGCTCCCGGGGCCCTCCACGGGCCCCAGGATCGTGCGAGCACGAGTCGCCCAGAGCCCCCTCGAGCTCTGCGTGAACATAGAGCTTGACGGCGGGGGGGGGGGGGGTCTTCCCGCGGCTCGCGGCCTCCGGGCGCCTTGCCAGGCCTCGGCGCGGATGAGAAGCTGGTCCCGGTGGAGGGGTCCAGACCTCCAGCCCTGGACGTTGTGCAGAAAAGGAAGGGACACGACGTCGAGGGTTTGGGAAGCACGGCTCGAGGCGAAGAGCCCGTCTTGTGGGCAAACCTCGGGGTCTGCAGGACTTCCCTGCCTTTCCTGACGGCCTTGCCTGTCCTCGGTCCCTCTCGTCGGTCGCCCACACTGTTCGGACCGTTCTGGTGTCTTTTGCGTGGGCCCCTGCAGCTCAGACCCCGACCAGTCGAGTCGTTTTCACGAGGTGGACCTCCAGAAGTCTGGATCCAAATCCTGGCCACCGGCGTTCCATCCCGAGCTGTTTTTTATTTTTTCCCCGCGGCCCTGGGCCACGGCGAGGGCCCGCGGAAGCCAAGCATCGCGCGGGACCTCCCGCCATAGTTTCCGTTTTATCATTCATTGTTTTGCCGATTGGCGCGGGCCCTCGCCCCCCCCCCCCCGTTCCCCATGGAGTCGATCTTGGGTGTTTTTGGCGCCTGGCTCAAGTAGTACGGGGGTCCCGCCTCCCCCCCCCTCCTGGTGGACACGTGAATCGCTGTTTCGCGCAACTGTGCATTGTGTTTTTGGGATGGCCCCCGGGAGAAGAAGAAAATGGCTCCAGGGCGCCGGATGGTTTTTTTCTATAAACGAGTTCGTTTTTAAAAAGAGTACCCCCGGGGGTTGACAGTTCTTGTTGTTGTTGTTGTTGTTGTTGTTGTTGCTGTTGGATCTTCTGGAATTGCAAGTCCGGATTTCAATTGCGCTCGGATTCCCCCTTGGGATCCCCCCAGAAGTCTTCCCCCTAGGACGTCTCCATAGGATTTGTAGTGGGATCCCCCACTAGATTGATTCCCCCACAGGGTTCCCCCATAAGATTTGCCCATAGGACTCGCATATAGGATTCCCGCATAGGACTCCCACATGGACACCCCATATTCCCTATAGGTTTCCCCATCGGACTCCTGTCAGGGCTCCATCCATACGCCTCCCCGATCTGTTTCCTTCGTCAGGTTTCCCCAGAGAAGCATCATTTCAAACAGTCGCACTAAGAAGAGGTCTGTAGCCAGGCCCCCCCCCAGTTCGCCCAGTGTCGAAACGCCGAATAAGAAAACGCTCACGTGCTTTATCCTCGACGGGAGGGGGTCTGGGAGGTCCGGGCCCCTCCCCCCAGACCAAGTTCCCAGGCACTGCGACGGACCTCCGGTCATGCTTCTTCTCGTCGCGGGGGGGCCTCGGGGAGGTTTAGGGCCCCTGCCCCAGACGACGTTTTCCACCGAGGGGGGTCTGAGAGGTCTGTCGGGGGCGGCCTGGCCGACCCCGAGCAAACCCTCCCCCTCCGTGACGTCCCCGTCGTCTTGCTTCCCACCACCTCCGACGTTGAATCCTTGCTCGCGGCGCCGGCCCTTGGGGGTCCCGACCAGTTCCCCGAGGCTGGCTTTTCGTCCCGGGGCGTGTTCTGCCAGGAGCCTGTTTTTTGGGATTCAGGCAAGTTTACTTGCATGGCGTTCGCCCCCCCCCCCCCCCCTCGCCCCTCTTCAAGCGAATACTAGCGTGCAAGTGCCTTTCGACTTGCGTGATTTCCGCGCCCCCCGAACGTGCAAGTTGTTTGCGGCTTGCTTCAGGCTCAGCCCCCCCCCGTCCATGCAAGTAAACTTGCCAGAGTCTAAAAACAAAACAAGCTCCAGCTCACGGCTCCGGTGCCTCGAAGCGGCCTCTCCGGAGGTCGAGGACGTTGGGAAAAGCCAGCCGGTTCGCGATCTTTTTTTTCGCGACGCCCCGACCTCGTGGGCGGCCTAACCGACCCCTGGCAAACCATCCCCTTCCGTGACGGCCCCCTCGCCTCGCCCTGAGACTCATGCATGCGGCCGGAGAGGCTTGAAAGGCGAGGGTGCCGACACGGAAGGGGACGATTTGCTGGAAGTCGGTTCGGCCACGCCCGAGACCTCCCGCCATGATCTTTCGCGGCGCGAGGTGGTCTGGCAGGCCATGGGTCCCTTCCCCCGCACCAGGGTTCCAATGCCGGGCCGCCTTCTGGCGGCCCCCGGGGCCCAGGCCCTCCCGAGGTCCCTCTCCTCCTCGCTCCCTCGCTTCCTCGCTGCACTCCCTCGCTCCTCCCTCGCCCTCTCTCTCTCTCTCTCCCTCTCTCCCTCATGGGCCCCCCCCCCCTCCCTCCCTCTCTCTCCCTCTCCTCCTCGCTCCCTCGCTTCCTCACTGCCCTCCCTCGCCCCTCCCTCTCTCTCTCTCCCTCTCTCCCCCTCTCTCCCTCACTGCCCCCCCCTCCCTCTCTCTCCCTTCTCTCTCCCCCTCCCCCTCACCGGGCCCTCCCCGCCGCCGGCGGCCGCCGCGGCCCGCGCGCGGCAGAGGTGCGCCGGGCGCCGCCCTGCAGCGGGACCCCGGCTGCAGCATCCTCCGGGGCGCGGCGCCGCCACAGCGTGGCCGCGGGCCGCTGGCCACCGCCAGGCCCTCGGCGCCCCCCCTCTATGTTTAAAACGACGCGAAGATCGGAAATCGGATCGGGATAGCTCGAAATCTCTGAGAATCGGCGGGTTTGGAGGATGTGTTGGGCGCCGCGGCCGCTCCAGAGCGTTGCGGAACGCTCTGAGAGCGCTCTGGAGCGATTTATCCCGATCCTAGCCCTGTTTAAATTCTGGCTCGGTGATGATATCGTTTCCCGGGCCCCCCCCCCGTCCCCGGCCCCAGCCCCAGCCAGGCTCCCACCACCTCTCACCCCCCCCAGGCTGGGGATGTGCCCTTCGGAGCCCGAGAGGGGAGCGGCCTGGATGCGTATGCCCATGCAGGGGGAAAGAGCGGGCAGGGGGGCCGAGGCCGTGCTCATGGGGATTGGGGTCGGTTGAACGTCAGGAGGGAAAAAACACACAGACACAATTAATCGTCGATTCCCCAGAAAAAAAGGGAAAATATGGGAAGTGGGGGGGAAGACAGAAACCCAGCAAATATGGGAAAATACCGGGAATCTGGTTATTTGTGTCTATTTATTTGTGTGTCCCAGTTGCCCTTCAGAACGATGCTACTTTGAATCGGGTGACCTGAGACCCCACGTTGCGAGAACATTGCAGCATCGCGAGGCATTGCGACGGGGGCCCGCGACCTTGTCTATCGTTCTGCAGCATTCTTCGAGCCGCATCGATCTGTGATGCCCCCGGGGGCCCCACGCCGGGCGAAATCGCCCAGTGTGAAGAATTGGAACGCCGGGATTTGTTCATCCCCTGGCGGTCACGGGCGTGACCAGGGGGGGGGGGGAGGGGTGATGGGGCCAGTCACGTCACGCTAGCGCCGTCTGGGAACGCCTAGGGCTTAGGAGTAGCTGATTCCCAGACGGCGCTGGCGCGAGTCGTGACGTGACCAGTTTGGTGGGGAGGGGCGGTCGGGGCTGGTAACGGGCGTTGCCAGAAACGACATGCACATACATTTTCGGCGTTCCGCGCGGATTTCTTGGATCGGCGCTGAGCCCCCTCCTGGCGGCGTCCAGGAGCCGCCCGGGCAGGTTTCTTGCTTGGCATTCTCCACTCCTTTCCTCCCTGCTGCGCTCCACTACATGAGTTGCCATCTCCGCGGGGCTGGACACTACCAACGTGCTCCAACCGTCCAGTACCAGAGTTTCGCTCGACCATACCGGTTCGAAGCGTCTTCAGGTCCACTTCTGCTTCGCCTCGTGGCCCGCGGCCCGACGTTTTGCAGACTGGTCCGCCCTCCGTGAGACAGCGCCACCCGCAAACCTACTCCAGATTTCGTAATACAAGGGAGGGGGTCTGGACCCTCCAAGACCAGCCATTTCAGACCTCCCCCGTGAAGAAGAGGATGATGTGGCTGACAGGCTTCACGATACCTTGACGCCCTCGGCCGGAGGCCGAAAAAGTAGTAAAAGGTGTGGAAGAGACCACCCTGGAGCCGCCGCGAGGCCACCCCGGGGTGGAATCAACACTGAAAAAGCCAAGCAGGGCAACCAGCAGCCGAGGAGGAGACTACTGGCCGCCGCACTGGTCCTGGCCCCCGTCTGTGTGAAAGGCGGTGGCCAAATCGCCAGCCGCAGTCAGGGATATCAGTTGTCAAGCTGATGAGTCATGTAAGGGGCACGCTTAGGTGCCAGCGGGAATTAGGCTATACAAGCCGAGTATGGGCGAACCCCCCGAAGAAGAAGACGACGACGAACCGAACCCCCCGCAACACGGGACCCCCCCCTCCGCAGCCGCATCCCCTGCGCGAGCCGCACCACACCGGCGGGGATCCGCGCGCCTTATGCCCAGGCTCCCCCCCTGGAAGGGGAGCCAGCAACCAGGCGTCGGCAGATCGCAGCACAACCAGTGTAGATTGGGGCGCAGGGAGGAAGGCACGAAGCGTCAAGGAGCCCCGCGCGCAAAGGAGCCCGGCGCGTCGCGCGGCCCCTCCCCCAGCGGGCCCGGGATCCCAAACCCGGAGTCACAGCGGCAGGCCCTCCTCTGGCCGCCCGCGTCAGGGCAAAGCCCCCGTCCATGCACGCCCCTGCCCCTCAGTGGAGGCAAGGGCCGTCTCCGGATGCCTCTGGGCGGCTCTGTAGACGCCGCGCTACGCACGGCCCCGGCCCTCCGGAGGGGCGTAGGGGGGTGGGGCACTGGCGTGCCTGCCTGCGGAGACCTCCCCCGTGGGAGAACCCTCCAAAACATCGTCCCCAGACCCCCCCAGGCCCTCCAAGATAGCCTGGAAGAGACCCCCCCCGAAATGAGACCCCCCTCCCTTTATTACGAAATCTGGAGTACTCCACCACCACGAGCAGTCCCTCCTCATCGCCGTCCTCAAAACGTCTGCCCGCCGCGCCTCGCCCGCCGCGCGCCCGCAGGCCCGACGCTCCCCCCCCCCCTCTCGCCCTATTCGCTCGCCGCTACTTTCACTCAGTCGGGCTCTGTGGGAACTCCAGCGGGCACGATGATGATGATGCTGATGATGATGATGCTGATGATGATGATGCTGCTGTTGATGCTGATGATGATGACGATCTTTCTGCTGCTGCTGATGCTGATGCTGATGCTGATGATGATGACACTGATACGGATATTGATGATGATGATGATGCTGATGATGATAAGATGTTTCTGCTGATGCTGATGCTGATGCTGATGCTGATGATGATGACACTGATACGGATACTGATGATGATGACGATGATGATGATGATGTTTCTGCTGCTGCTGCTGCTGATGCTGATGCTGATGCTGCTGATGATGATGATGATGCTGATGATGATGATGATGATGAGGATGAGGGGGAGGATGATGATGATGATGCTGAGGATGAGGATGAGGCTGAGCATATGATCATGATGATAATTAGGGTGCGGATAAGGAGGATGATGATACTGCTGATGATGATGTCGATGATGATGATGCTGATGATGATGATGCTGCTGATGATGATGCTGATGATGATGCTGATGTTGATGCTAATGATGATGATGCTGATGATGATGATGATGTTGATGTTTCTGCTGCTGCTGATGCTGATGCTGATGCTGCTGATGATGACACTGATACGGATATTGATGATGATGACGATGATGATGATGATGATGATGATGATGATGTTGATGATGCTGATGATGATGATGTTTCTGCTGCTGCTGCTGATGCTGATGCTGATGATGATTACACTGATACGGATACTGATGATGATGACGATGATGATGATGATGTTTCTGCTGCTGCTGCTGCTGCTGATGCTGATGCTGATGATGATGATGAGGATGAGGGGGAGGATGATGATGATGATGAGGATGAGGATGAGGCTGAGGATATGATCATGATGATAACTAGGGTGCGGATAAGGAGGATGATGATAAGGCTGATGATATTGCTGATGATGATGATGATGCTGATGATGATGCTGATGATCATGATGCTGCTGATGATGATGATGCTGATGATGATGCTGATGTTGATGCTGTTGATGCTGATGACGATGATGGTTCTGCTGCTGCTGCTGCTGATGCTGATGCTGATGGCACTGATACGGATATTGATGATGATGACGATGATGATGATAATGCTGATGATGATGATGATGATGTTTCTGCTGCTGCTGCTGATGCTGATGCTGATGCTGATGATGCTGACACTGATACGGATACTGATGATGATGACGATGCTGATGATGATGATGATGATGATGTTTCTGCTGCTGCTGATGATGATGATGCTGATGATGATGATGATGATGATGATGAGGATGAGGGGGAGGACGATGATGATGATGCTGAGGATGAGGATGAGGCTGAGGATATGATCATGATGATAATTAGGGTGCGGATAAAGAGGATGATGATAAGGCTGATGATAATGCTGATGATGATAATGTTGATGATGATGATGCTGATGATGATACTGCTGATGATGATGATGCTGCTGATGATGATGATGATGTTGATGCTGCTGATGATGATGATGTTTCTGCTGCTGCTGATGCTGATGCTGATGCTGATGCTGATGATGATGACGACACTGATACGGATATTGATGATGATGACGATGATGATGATAAGCATGCTGATGATGATGATGTTTCTGCTACTGCTGCTGAAGCTGATGCTGATGCTGATGATGATGACACTGGTACGGATACTGATGATGATGATGATGACGATGATGATGATGATGATGATGATGTTTCTGCTGCTGCTGCTGATGCTGATGCTGATGCTGCTGATGATGATGATGATGATGATGATGATGAGGATGAGGGGGATGATGATGATGATGATGCTGAGGATGAGGATGAGGCTGAGGATATGATCATGATGATAATTAGGGTGCGGATAAGGAGGATGATGATACTGCTGATGATGATGATGATGATGATGATGCTGCTGATGATGATGATGCTGATGATGATGATGATGATGTTGATGCTGATGATGATGATGTTTCTTATGCTGCTGCTGATGCTGATGCTGATGCTGATGATGATAGCACTGATACGGATATTGATAATGATGACGATGACGATGATGATGATGCTGATGATGATGCTGATGTTTCTGCTGCTGCTGATGCTGATGCTGATGCTGACGATGATGACACTGGTACGGATACTGATGATGATGATGATGATGATGACGATGATGCTGCTGATGATGATGATGATGTTTCTGCGGCTGCTGCTGCTGATGCTGATGCTGATGATGATGATGATGAGGATGAGGATGAGGGGGAGGATGATGATGATGCTGAGGATGAGGATGAGGCTGAGGATATGATCATGATGATAATTAGGGTGCGGATAAGGAGGATGATGATAATGTTGATGGTGATGATGATGATGATGATGATGATGATGATGATGATGATGATGATGATGATGATCATGAGTCCCCGCTCGCGTCGCATCTTCTGGGGAGGCTTCATCTGATCTTTGAGTTTAGGCCTGGGGTTGGCCCCGGGGTGGGGCCCGCGGCCGCGAGCACGCTCGCTCGACCTCTTGCCCGTCGGCTGAGCGGCGCGCGGGCCGCGCCGTAAGCCCTCCCCTCTCGCCGCCGTCCTCCTCATGTCTCCTCGGGCCTCGCGCCGCCCCCAGCTCCCTTCCTCCCCCTCCCCCTCCGAGGAGGAGGAGGAGGTCAAAAAACGCTCGGACGCTTTGGCGCTGTCCCTTCCCTGGTATCCATCCGTTGGCGTCGGCGGTTTCTCGTTGTTTCTGCTTTCGGCGGCGGCTCGCTTCGATTCGGCCTCGAGCGGTCGTCACCATTCTCCTGTGGCGCGGGGCAGCGCGGCGCGAAATTACGCATCTGGCTCGTGTGGCAGGCCGCTGCTCGGAGAAGCGCTTGCGCTTCTCTCCGCCGTCTCCTTGCCTTCGTTGTTTTCGCCCACGCAACCTGTTGCCCATCTGTCCCTTTTACTACGGCCTCGAATGCCAAATGTGCCACAGGTCCGATGCTCAAGAACCATAGTTTTGACAGCGATTTGTCGGTGGTATCCGGCCTGCGGAAGCGATACCTCACGCAGCGGAACGTTGGAGCTTCCTCCGCTGTCTTTCCTACCGGTGCTGAGCCGAAGAGGCTGGCAAGCGAGCCCCGGCTTGCGCGGGCACCGCCGCGCCCTCCTCTCCCCTCCGTGACAGTGAGCATGCCGGAGCCTACAGGAAAAACAGCCTCCGGAGGACCTGCGGCGGGATGTCTTGGGCAGCTTCTGGCCTCGGGCCCCGAGGCCACCAGATAACGACTCACGATGGAAGGCCGGCCCTCGGGGTAGGGGTCCAGTCCAGACCTCTGCTGAGGCCCGTTGTGGAAATCACGACGTCGGGGGTCTGGGAATCCAGCCCTGCCAACTTCAAGAGAAAACACGGAGTAACCATAAGCTTTCTGAAGCTCCGCGCGGATTTATTGGATGGGTGCTGGATCCCCCTCCCTGGCGAGCGGAGCGCGCCAGAGGCAGCCACAGAGGCGCCGACAGGGGACCCCAGCGCAGATCCAAGGAGTCTGCGCGGAGTTCCGACAGTTTTTGCGCGTCCATTTTTTTGTGTCCTCTACAAGTTCCTTTCAACTGCATTTGTCCTAGATTTACTCGGAGGTTTCACCATGGGCTTTGGTCCAGAGAAAGCAGAAGGGCAGCTCTCGAACCGAGCGGGATTCTCATAGCTTTGTGCTTGCCCTGCGCTGTGGTCACTCCAATTCGCACCGCGACCGGGTCCATTCCAGTGCATTCCACTTCCTCCATGCATCCTGCGCCCCTCCCGCCGCCTCCCCCTTTCCTCCTCCCTTCTCCCTCATTTCCCCTTCCCTCTTCAGCTCCCTCCTCCTCCTCTCTCCTCCACTCTCCTCCACTCTCCTCCTCCCGCCTCCTCGTCCTCCTCTCTCCTCCCCCCCACCCCCCCACCCGTCCCCCTTCAGGCTACAGCCAGGCCCGGTGCCTTCCTTTCCCTGCATCCCTCCCGCCGCCCTCCCAACGTCTTTCGACAGAGTTTTCCGCGTTTTCGGCCGCCAGGGGCCGTCTTCGGGCTCCGGGGCTGTCGCAATATGATTCTCAGCATGAGCAGCGGGCCCCGCTGAGCGGGTCGGGACTTTGGAGGTCTCCTCCCTTGCTGCGTCCTGCGTCCGTCCCGCCTCTCCCTCCTTCTTCTCCCCCCTTTCCTCGTCGTTTCCTCCTCCCTCGTCTCCCTTCCTCCTCTCCCATATCTTCTCCCGGTCCCCCTCCTCCTCCTCGTCCTCCTTCTCCTCCTCCTCCTCCTCCTCCTCCTTCTCCTCCTCCTCCTCTTTCTCTTTCTCCTCATCCTCCTCTTTCTCGTTCTCCTCCTCCTCCTCCTCCTCCTTCTCCCCGGCCAAGAGTCCGCCGCCCATGTTTAACGACAAGACGAGGTCATGTGAGGAGGAGGAATGGGAGGAGGTGGCGCAGGAGGATGAGGAGGAGGAATGAGGAGGAAGAGGAGAGGGAGGATGATGATGAGGAGGAGAAGGAGGTGGATGAGGAGGAGGAGGAGGATAATAATAATGAGGAGGAGAAGGAGGAGGTGGAGGAGGAGAAGGAGGTGTAGAGGGAGGAGGAGGTGTAGAGGGAGGAGGAAGAGGACGAGGAGGTGGGGTGGAGCAGCAGCAGGAGGAGGAGAAGGAGGAGAAGGAGGAGGGGAGGAGGAGGAGCAGGAGAACGAGGAGGAGAAGGAGGAGGAGGAGGAGGAGGAGGAGGGGGCAGGGAGGAGGAGCAGGAGGAGGAGGAGGAGGAGGAAGAGGAGGAGGAGGAGGAGGAGGAGGAGGAGGAGGAGGAGGAGGAGGAGGAGGAGGAGGAGGAGTAGGAGGACAAGGAGGACAAGGAGGAGAAGGAGGAGGAGGAGGAGGAGGAGGAGGAGGGGGAAGGGAGGAGGAGCAGGAGGAGGAGGACGAGGAGGAGAAGTAGGAGGAGGAAAGTAAGAGGAGGGGGAGGAGGACTAGTGTACACCCAAGACACACCAACATGTTGGAGAAAACACTTCCTCCAATCTTCCTCCCCGCAGGCCCCTGCAACGGTTCATGTCCACTTCGGGAACTGCCTCGTTGGAAGACAACCGTTTGAAGATCCTGAAGCATGCCAAAACATTGTTCTCGTGATTCCAACTTCATGGGTGAACCTGAAAGCTGCGTCTTGATCCTGAGTCGTGCCAGGACGCCATTGCTGGGACTTCAACACCGAACGCCATTCCTGGGAATTCAACACTGCGAGTCAACGTAACTGCTGCACCCACATAATCCAGAATCCTTCTAAAACGTCATTTCTGGTACGCTGATCATGGGAATCTGTGACACTCTTGCACATCTGAAGAAACACGAATGCGCGCGGCGCGAAGGCGAGAGCCACGTTTTGAAGAAGAACCGCCCTCAATCCTTGAAACTCTTGCACATGTTAAAAGGGAGTGCGCGCGGCGCTAATGCGAGAGCCACATTTTGAAAACGGGCCGCCCTCGATCCGTGACACGCTTGCACATGTTTAGAACGAGTGTTCGCGGCGCTGCGGCGAGAGCTACATTTTGAATCCGGCCGCCCTCAATCCGTAAAACTGTTGCCACTGTTTAAGCTTCAGGGTCACACATGGTGAGGACATCTCAGGCGAAGCGCCCGGCCCGCCCTGAAAACTTGCGTCGGGGTGCGACAGGGAGAAACCATTTATAAGGAAAAGGAGTGGAGGAGGAGGAGGAGGAGGAGGAGGAGGAGGAGGAGGAGGGAGAAGGGGTGGGGGAGGAGGAGGAGGAGGAGGAGGAGGAGGAGGAGGAGGAGGAGAAGGAGGAGGAGGAGGAGGAGGAGGAGGAGGAGGAAAAGGACGACGACGACAACGACGACGACGCGGTGGGTCGGGTCGGCCAGGTGGCTTGGCGCTGAGGGCGCCCGCCTGCAGGAGCGGGCCAGGGAGCCCCAGGGTGGGTGCCGGTGGGCTGCCTTCCTCCACAGAGGAGGCGACGGGCGTCGTCCAGGGGGTCGAGGGTCGAGGAGCGACATTCAAGACCCGGACGAGGCAGCTGTACCGATACCGCTGTCCTTCCCTCGTTATCGCTTCTTGGGGCACCGTTCGATTCGCCTCCAAATTCTGGGCGGCACGCACCCTTGGAGAGGTCCGGGGAGTAGCGGTAAGGCTTCGGGTTGCTCGCCTGCAACCACTCCCAGGTAGTCCTGGCTGGCCTCTACAGGCTCCCCGAGTAGCCACAGCTGGCCTCAGCATGCCCTCCGAGTAGTCCTGGGCGGTCTCAAGGCGGCGTCTCTGGGGCGCTCGGCAGGGGAAGGGTGAGGTGCTGAGATCGCCCTAGACTGCTCGGAGGGCCTGTTGAGGCCAGCTGGGGCCGCTCGGGGGCCTGTCAAGGTCAGCCAAGAACAGCCGGGGGACTGTCTGTGCGCCGTCGGAAGCCTCCTTGGGGCCTGCTGGCGGTCTCGGGACACGTTGTGGGGTGGAGGGCTCCGAATTTCAGTTGCGGTTGTCCGTTCGGCGCCGTCGTGGGGGCGTCATGGGCCTTTCGTGGGGGCTTCTGGGCCGTCTCGAGACGATCCTGAGGGCCTTTTTAGCCGCTTGGGCGGCCCTCAAGACCGAACATCACATCATGTTGGCACCATGCAAGATCGCTTCGATGGTTGATGATCTTGACCTCTTGTGCTGGCCCCAATGGCCTCCACGACAGCCCATGAGGCCCCTAAGAGGGTTCCACCGCGGACCCATTGGATTTTGTAGTTCACGCTGAAGGGCGAGGCCTCCACTTACGCTCCAGGGGCTGTCGGGCAATCCACGTGGAGTGTAACAGCATTGATGACTTGACGGAACTCGATGACACTAAAATCAGCGTCTACAGCGCCGTGCTGATTATTTCAAATGCACCAGGTCGCGTGCAGAATGCTGATCTCTCAAAAAGGCAGTTTGCGACGCGCCGTACTCTGGTTCGGTAGAGGACTGTTTCGCGATTGTGTCTCATGTGTGGCTCGGTTCGGATCTGAGAGAGGGCGGCTTCTGCTCGAAACGCTCCAGTCTTTGAATAAGGATGCGTGTGTGCGGCTGCCAGGATGAATTGCGTTGCGGCCTTGGTTTCGCGTCGAGCGCATGACATGCTGTCACTACGTCTGCGAGCTTCCATGTGCCAGAACTGTAGCTTTTATGTTTGGTGGGCTTCCCAATGCCGGCTTCGTGTGCTTTCGATGTGTTCCGCGCCCACTAGTTCTGTCATGTTAGGCAAAGTGCGTGTCTCTAAAGTGTAGCGGCCCAGCGCCGCATAAATCAGTATGTGACTCAATTGCCCGTGGCCGTGTTTCAGCAAAACCCGTCATCGGACACGAGCGATGTTCCTCCAGCCTCTTCGATGATAGTGCAAGGCTTGAGGGCATCCGTTTACTGCCGCTGTGAATGTGTGACGTTCTCCATCGCAATCCGAACTGACCAATCGGATTATCGCATTGTGTACGTACCAGAGCTCCGATACCATCATTCGAGCAGGATGCTACGGCGCCTAGTCTTCGTTCGGGTCCACAGTCGAAGGGGATACATGCCACCATCTACATAAGCGATTTCCTGGCCAGTGGGCATTTCGCAGGGCTCGTCTTGCAGCGACGTTGTGAGAAGTGCCGTTGCACGTGAAGGTCTCACCCGCTTGTTTCGCGTTCCCTTCGATCCTACCGTCTTCGCCCGTTGCAGCGTTTTTGCCCCGCCATTTCCACCCCTTCCTTCGACAGCCGCTCCCATCCTGCGGCCTCTTCGCGCACAGGCCATGCAGAGTTGGATGACCTCCGTGCCCCGCTGTGTGTCGACGGGCTGGTGCCGTGAGCCAGGCGGGGCCCATAGATTGTCTCTCCCGCTGTTGGCAGGGTTCCTGGACACACAAAGCGAGCGGAATGACTGGCCTCAGGGTTCAGCAGGCAGAGCAGCTGCTGTCCGAGTGTTGGATACACGGCCGGCTGTGCGGGCGAAGAGGCTCGGGCCTTCCTCGTTCCAGGAGCTGTGTTGGGCATCCTCTGCTTCAACCGATAGCGCTGCTGAGATTTTGATCGTAGGATCCGCACTCCCGTGACATTTTGCAGGGCAGCCGCCAGAGCGCATGCGCCAGAGGTGCGGCTGGGTGCAGGACGGCACATAGGATCATTAGGTGAGATTTTAGGCTGGCGTTAGCTGTCTCGACAAAGAGCAGGTGATCGGGTAGAAGCCAGCAGGGAAGCTAGCAACTCAATGTTGCAAAGTTGGATGGCGCAAAGCTTGGGAGCCGAGCTTATGGCGCCACTAATCGCAGACGGTTTTGCGCAAACTGTGGCGTGGCCTATGGTGCAGCCAGTAGCTGAATCTCTTGCACAGCCTATGGCGCAGCCGATGGTCCTCTGGTACAACCCATCGCTCAACCTATATCGCAACCGATCGCACAACGCGCATGCCGCAACCTGAGGCGTGACTCGTGTCTGAACCCTTCCGCGCAACCCATGCCGCAGTTCACAGGGAGACATCACGGCCCAAGCTTTGGCGCCACCTCTAGCTCAGCATCTAGCGCAATCAATTGCGCAGTCTCTGTCGGAATTTCTGGCGCAGCCTATGGTGCAGCCTGTGCAGCTCGGGGGAGGGAGAACAGTGGGAGGGACGAGCATTGGGAGAAAGAGCAGAGAGGGACGAGTAGTGAGAGGCAACGCCTGTGAGGACGAGGGGGAAGGAGAACAATGGGCGGGACGAGCAGTGGGTGAGAGCAGACAGGGACGAACGGGGAGGCAACGCCGATGAGGATGAGGCCGAGGACGAGCAGTCCGGGGGGGTGGGCCACGCCAGACTGACGTCACCGTTTCTGCTCGGCTCCGCCCGACACCTGCTCGCCGTCTTGGGCCGCAGGGCAGCGGGGCCAAGACGGTGTCCTCGTGAACTCTCTGCATCCTCTGTCCTGACCTCCCTGTCCTCCTCCCTGTCCTCCTCCCTGTCCTCCCTCGTCCTCGTCTTCCCTGCCCTCCCCGTCTTCTCGCGCCTCCTTCTGGCCAGGTTTCACGATTTCAGCGCTTATGCGAGTCGTGTTTCTACACGGATGGAGTGCCGCTCCTTCACAGTTTCTGCACTCTTCTTGAGAATGCACCAACCCGACCTCCCAGAGGAGGAACGTGTACTGATGCCGCTGCCCCTTGCCTCGTTTGCCCCGTTCGGGGCCTCCTGGCAAGCCCTCGTGTCGCCACGGCGGGATGCGCGCTGATACTCAGGTCAGAGCGCACGACCCCCGGAGAGAGGTCCGGGAGTGCTGGTATCGATGCCCATCGGTCGCTGATAGTAGGTATGTTTGGATTCCCAGGTTCCAATGTACTTTAAGCGCCTTTCTGCTTCAATGATCGAGTGGCTTCACCAGTTCCGTCCTCCTTAGAGGTCGGACGAAACTCAATCTACTTCCAGTGCTTTCCTACGTCCTGCTTCTTCCTGCTTCGTCCAGCCGATGTGTACCCTTTGCTTCCCCAGTATTCCACCTTTCGCCTTGGGCCGTCCAGCCTCGGCCTCGGCCTGGTCACTCGTGCCGTGGCGTCGCTGCCTGGGACTTTGGGCCCCCTCCGCTGCGGGCCTCGTAGGGCCCCATGCGGCCCTTTGCGGGGGCATTCTGAGGCCTTGGTGTGCTCTTTGAGTCGGGGCGGTATTGACCCGGTTTGGGGCCGCCTCCTGGCTGCGCTGAGAATTGAGAAGGAACTGGCACGGATAGTTTGCGGCCTCTTGCGTGGGCATACGGCTTCGTAGTATGCTTCCGGTGGAACGAGCCTACACATTCAGCTACACTGGGAGCCCACAATAACGAAGGCGACCTGCGAGACAGAACGTTCAACGCTTGATCCGCGCTTAGGATACGTACCCCGCCATCGCGTGTTGTAAGTATCCGTGGCGAGGGAGTGCACTCAACACTATTAATTGCCTTTCGTCTTCGTAGCTGGCGCGATCGTTTGTGGAGCCGCCATTCTTCAACTAGAGGTGCTCCACTACGTGGTGCGATGCTCAGCCTCGACGCATCTATTTATGTCACGCCGCTTCGGCCAGCCGCACTGCCTAAGACAGGCAACGTGCGCGAATGCCGTTTTCCTATGGCGTGGGGTGCGCACGTTTCGTCTCCGCACTACCGCCACAAAGCACACACGACCCCCCTGAGTGGATCGCTCCTGGGTCTTATGGGAGGGTGGCGGTGTTTAATTCACTTCTAAGGGCCGGCGATGATGTACACCGCGACCCCCCTGAAAGCACAGAGATAACTCGTCGGCGGGTGGTTCCGTAGAGTTTTTCCAAAGACGTAGTGCTGATGGTGCCAAGCCCAGGCCCTCGACGTCAGGCTTCTCGCACAGAGTCGCCCCCCAGAGACCTGGGCGACGGCCCCGAGTCCGAGCGAGGGCCCTCAAAGGCCGAAGCTATGTGGCAACAGGCCGCCCGCCATGATCTGTGCGACGACGTGGGAGGGTCTGCGCGGCGGGCCGCGCCGAGCTGGCACTCCTTGCGGCGGTGACGACGGCGACGGCGGGGGGGGGGTACAAGCGTGGGGCAAGTCTCGTTTTGGGGAGGCCTTGCGGCCGGTGCCGCCGACCCTGAACGACGACGACGACGACGACGACGACGACGACGACGACGACGACGACGACGACGGCGACGACACCGACGGCGGCGGCTCTTTCGGCGGTGACGACGGCGAGGGCGGGAGGGGGGGGGACCAGCCTGGAGCAAATCTCTACCCCTATGGTTGGCCTCACCTGACCTCGATGCCGAGCTCAAGGACCTCCATGTTCCGAGGGCGCATCCCCGAGATTGTCACCCCCTGTGGGGCTGGCCACTCATAGGGGTAGGTATCGGCTCGAGGCTGGTCAGGGGGGGGGGGGGGGCGGCCTCCGAGAGACCTCCCGCGGGGGGGCCCGGGCCACGGGGGCGTAGAGGCGCTCGGGAGGCCCCTGCTCCTCGAGGCCCCGCGACGTGCCCCATCGTCCTGCTACCCCTTCTTGCCCTGCTCGAGCTCGTCGTCGCCCCTCGGCGCCCCCGTCGTCGGCCTGTCGGTCGTCCCAGCAGTTGGGGTCGGTGCCTCTGCTGCGGGGGACGCACGAGATGGAGACGGCGGCGACGACGACTCCCCAGGAGATCCGTCGTCGTCGTCCTCCGCCTCCGTCTCCTCCTCCGTAGCCATGTTGGCTGGAGGCGTCCGCTTCATCGGAAAACCAAGGTGGGTGCCGTTATTCCGCGGCTTGCTTCATACTCCTGGGAGCTCCTTGGGGGGCACGTCGCACCTCCCGCGGACGGTCGGGTGGGTAAGCGGCGGAGTTGTTGTTCTTGCCTGGCCATCAGTTCCAAGACACATGTGACAGCAGTTCTGCAGCGATGGACCGCTTGGATCCCGAGTCAAGAAGAGAGTCAAGGACCGTGGTCGTGTCCCTGACGTTCCTCGTGCTCCTTCGGTAATTTAGCACGGTGAAAGCGCCCCCCACCCCTGAATTTGATCCTGCTGGTGATGCCAGTGCTGGTCCCAGCGAGTCTCGTCATGCTGTACGCCTTGGGGATGAGGACCTTGGCATGTCCGCCAGCGACGAGGGAGGGCAAGAACGCCTTCCTCGGCCAGCTGGGGTGCACATAAGTCATTGAGAAGTCCAAGTCCACTCGCCAATCCGTGTTGGAGGCCCTCTAGTCCGCCGTCGCTTCCAAAGTTGTGGACAGGGTCGCCAACTTCGCCGCCGCCGCCGTGGCCGAGCAAGCTTCGAGGAATAGTGCTATGTGTGCTGCTGTGCGTGTGCCGAGGGCGCGACATTCACCGCTAATAAAATTGGCGGTGTCCCCCGCAAGGTGCAAGAGCAAGTGGGCGCTCATTATGCGCGGCTACGAGGTGTGAGAACAGGTTGGGCGAATCTGATACGGCCTGAACCAAGCAGCTTCGTGATGCCCTCGCCATGGCCAGCGCGCAGCCAACACCCGTCATCAACGCAGCGGGTTGCGCGCGCGAGATGGACCTCGCGCTCATCAAGGTTTTCGCATCGTTCCTGGCGGTCATCAGCAACATCAAACAATGCCCCACGGATTGGTTCACCACGGTCGGGGCTTGATCTTCTGGCTTTAAACTTGTTTCCACTGAGCAAGCCTCTCGCTCTTTTTCGGTCAAGCTTGGTGGCGCCGTCGGGCCTGCGGCGCGCAGGGTCACCATCATATTGGACGCTCAACGTCTCGGACCAGGGCAGTGGACGCGCCTCCAGACGGCTCGCAATGAGACCTACGCACCAGCGCCGACAAGAACCCGAACCATATCAAACTCGAAGCGTACGGCAGGAAGCTCAGGGAAGCCGCCCTGGCCATGAACCCGACAAAGAAATGGTTCCCCGACCGAGTTCGCGGATCAATCATGGTTCGTTTGGGCCCCATTGCCCAGCTCACCCCGGCACGTGGCAATTGCGAGGACGATCTTCGTGAGGCCAACGGCTTCATCGCCAAGTTACGCCTTGACCGCGACCGCAGGGACCAGCGCGCGCATTGGATCAAGGCCTCGTCTGCGGTGGCACAGGGGTGTGTTATGTGCGCTTGTTCAAGCGGTCGGTAGCTTCAAGACTAAACGACCGAATACTTGGGAGGTCATAGGATGGCTGTGTGGCTTTGCACTGCAAAGGCGCCGAAGCGCTGAATACGCTGAACTACCTTGAATGCATCACTTACAGGAACAGGATCGTGGCGTCGCAGGAACTCCACCAAGAAGAAGCACAACTCCGCGACTTCCGTCGAGAAGTCCAACAGTCGAAAGGGCCCTGCGTGTCGTTACCCCTTTGTGCAACGTGTTCATCATCAGTGGCGCTGCGGCATCGCCCCCTTCGAACTGGAAGGCTGGCGTCGCGAAGTTGGAATTGAACTCCGGCCGCGCGCTTCGCTTAGAGATGGGGGCTCGCGACAGCTGATCATCCACTGCAGTGCTCACGTGGCGCGATCTGATTCTTCAGCAAGTGCTGATGATATCGCGGCGGGTACGTGCTGGCCTCTCACGCGCGGCACTGACTCCGCCGTCGCGCTGGCGGCGAGCCTGCGCGGTGGCTTTTATTTTGCTGATCCTTCCCAGCTACTTCCCCATCTAAATGGCCATGGGAGGGCTGATGGTAGAGATCAGCACGTGCAAGCCCCGACGCGTTGGAAGTTGGCAGCGCAGATGGGCGTGTTTTCCAGCGACGACGCCCCGCGCACTGTTGAGCGCGCTCTTCCTGTCTCTGATGTCGTCTCAGTCTGGGGCAGCGGGCCGGGGTGGATGCAACGTCGGGTCATCCTGTTCCCGCTTCGCGACCTGCGCCCCCGAGTCTTTGGCCGGCAATCGCGCGGGCGATCGCGTCGCGCAGGTGGTGGTTCTACGGCGGCGTCGCCGCGTCCGTTTTCGGCAGCGGCGCATTCCGCGCCGCATTTCCCGATCGCCACAGTTCCTGGACACATCCCACAGAGAGGCTCGCCAGCTCAGCCGCGCAGACAAATCCCGTCCGAGGCAGGGCGGGTTGCGCGAGTGGGCGATGCTGGAGTTTTCGCGCGACGCTCGTGATCGCTCTTTCGTGGACAGCCCTCCAAGGTTTCAGATGCAGGCGCTCGTCTCCCAGCGACCGCGCGCGGGAGGCTTTGTCTCTCGGGCTCTGCCGTACTGGTGGTTGTGGTTGTCTTCAATGTTGCCCTCTCCTGCTACGCGTGCCCTGCCGGTGCGCATGACCAACTGGATGTTGTTTCATCGACTGCCGCAGCGCGCCAAGCGGTCCAGGCAGCACTTCAAACGTTCAGCTTGGCGCACGTTCGCCATGGCAGATGCCGAAGCACGACGGCGCGCCCGTCCGATGCTCGCCCGCGGAGAGCAGCCATCTTCTCGGAACCTTCGGATATTTCGAGCTCGCCATCGCCCGATGAGTCTGACAGTGTTCCGCCGCTGCTGCACGTCGACTCGCGCGGTTGGGGCGCCGTGCTCGCTGGCGATTGCCATGCGCGCGTTGCCGAGGGCCCGTGCTTGCACACCTCCCCTAAACAAGGCGCCACGTTGAATGGCGACGAGAGGGCCGGTGGCGCGGCCCGCGAATGCACCGCGAACGCCGTTGCGGCAGTTGCCTTGAAGTCTCAACCAGGCCCCCCTTTTTGAATCGGTGGCCTGCCGTCGGGCGAGACTGATGACGCCGAGTTCAATTGCGACCGGCGTTTGCGCTCCTCTTGCCGAGGTCTTCAGCGACCGTGATCAGCGCGCGGCGGGCGCGCGATGAGCTCTCCTTGGCGTTGGCTGCGTATTGTCTGGCAGATCATTTATACGCCAAGACTGTTGGGCGACTTCCACAGCTGCGTGAATCGGCGCATCCACTGCGTTGCGGGCGTACTGCGCCGCGACATGTTTCGCCCCATGTCTTGATCCAGTCTCGCTTGTGCCTGGCAGGGGCGTCGGCGCATGGCGACGGGCATTTGCCAGAATGCTTAGTTCGACTCGCTGCTCCGGCGCATGCACCTCGCGCGCGTTTTTTCTTCATCTCCATGGCCAGGCAGGGGCCGAGACAGGGTGAAGGCGTTACAGCTTCGAGCTCGTCATCATCCGCGCCTTCGCGATTGGCGCCCTGGTCCATGGGCTCGCTCCTCGAACAAGTCGACACCATGTGCGCCCTCCCGACTGCGCTCAACTGGAGCATGCCCATGGAGTTCCCGGTCCTCTTCAAGGTGCGGGCCCCCCCCCGCTTGCAGCTGGGCATCAGATCGTGCTTGGCGGGTTCGCTCTCGATGGCGCCGTGGGCACCTCGATGCAGCAGCCCGCTGACGTCGGCCACTACTCGTCCACCGACATCCTGGACCGCGACGCCGCGAGCCTGAGTGGCCTAGCCAGCGGCGCGGGCGGGGCGCAGGCGCAAGGAGACGCGCGCCCCCCTCGCCCGCTGGGGCTCTCGTCCTCCTCCTGCTCCTGTTCCTCCTCCTTCTCTTCATCTTTTTCTTTTCCATGCTTTCTGTTTCAAAAACCCCTCCTTGTCGCTCCCAAAGACCCGTCGGTAGGGCGGTCCAGGCGTTTCGCTTGAGACTTCCTGGCCACCTATGATCCTTAAGCTTGAACTGTGCAACAGTTTCACGGATGGAGTGCGGGCCGCTTTCAAAATGAGGTTTTCGCCGTAGCGCCGCGCGCATTCGTTTTCTGATATGTGTGAGAACTTCGCGGATCGAGGGCGGGTTGTTCTCAAAGTGTCGGTTCTCTCTTGAACGCTGCGCACAC